GTGTAATTAATCTTTTGATTTTCTGGCAGCTGGTACCGTGAGTGGTGATTGTGGAGCCAAGCTAACTGAAGCTGTTAACAATCTCAATCTCTTTACATAGGTTAAGCTAATAATTTTAGAACTACTTTATATTTAATATGCTATTTACAGTTAGGTTTCTTCAGTCTACATATAGATATATAAAACTTATACAAAAGACTGAAAACCAAAGAAAAAGAGTCTTCAGAAACAGTCTAATTTGAGTACAGATGTAGGTGTACATATATATATTATAAAAAAAATCTTTGAATCCAAGTCCATATCTTTTTCTCAGGAGAAAGATCTGTTTGTTTCCTTTGGTGCTGTTAACAAAACAGTCTCCACAGTGCATGTTTTACTGTGTAAGATAAATCAAGCCAAGGATAAGTCAAGTGTATAAGTTGAAAACAAGACTTAGCAACTTGAAAAGTTCTAATTCTCAGTGTTAGCAAGAGTTCATTCAGTGTGTGTGGAATTCTGAATACTAGCGTTGAGTGTAAATGAGTAAAATATGGCTCAAAAATAATTTTGCGATGCATTTCAGAAGCCTTTTAAAAAGGGACACAAGCTTATTTTTTTATTATGAACGCTATTGGTTTATATTAAAGGAATTTAAATATAAAAATGCAACATAATGAAGATGAGAGAAAAGGGATGTCAATTTCGAAAAGAGGGAAAGTGGCTAGAAAAGGAGTAACTGATGAAACAGAGTTTGGAAAACTACAACCTAAAAACCCAATGAGAGCTTGAACAGGAAGGATGCTGACTGCCTGGCAGAACCTGGGAAAGTTAGACTCTGAGTCAGCTTATATGATGAGGGCCAAGCGTAAGAGGATTACATTACATAATTTTAAAGAATAGTTTATTATCATTTCTTCTATCTTCATCTTACAAGGTTCTTGAAAGCGATCTGCTCGTACTTCAATGGCCTATTAGAACAAAATTTGAAATTCTTTGGAGCAGATAACAAAGTCCGAATTTTCTTGATATATCAGTACAATATTTAGTACCCAGCTGAAAAAAGTTACATGTGAAAGAGCAAAACTGTTTAACCTATAATCTAGATAAAATCTAGTCATTAGACATAGACTCATGTTGTTGTTAGGTTCTGTTGCATGAAATACAACTTACAGCAACCCTATGAACAACAGCTGGAAATCTGGCCCTATCTTTTGCTATCACTTGCTATACATCAGAGAGCTGGACAGTGACTAGGGATGAAAGAAGGAGAATTGATGCCTTTGAGCTGTGGTGTTGGAGAAGAGTATTGAATATACCATGGACTGCTAAGAGAATGAACAGGTTCATCCTGGAGAGGGTTAAACAGAGCTGCTCCTTGGAGGCAAGAAATCTGAAGCTTTGTCTGACATACTTTGGACATGTTGCAAGGAGGACATGTTGCCAGTCCTTGGAAAGGGGCATCATACTTGGGAGGGTGAAGAGACAGCACAGGAGAGGAAGATCCTCAATGAGATGGATTAATTCAGTGACTGGGATGATAAGGGTAGATCACAGACAGATTGGCACAGGATAGAGCAGGATTTAGGGCTATAGTACATAGGGTCATTTTTAGTCACATTTTAGGCAACTTGAAGGCACTTAACAACAACAATTACATATTAGTTTCCTTGGTTCTGCAAGTAACACTCTTCACACAACAGTCAGGAAATCAAAAGATGAATTACATTAGGAAAGTCTGCTGTCAGTGAACTCTCTAAAGTACTGAACAGCAGTAATATCAGTCTCAGACTAAGGTGCTCCTTATCTTCACAATTACTTGCTATGCATCCAAGAGCTGGACAGTGACTAAGGATGGTAGAAGAGGGATCAATTCCTTTGAGTTGTGGTGTTGGAGAAGAGTGTTAAACATACCACGGACTGGCAGGAGAACAAACAGGTCTGTTCTGGAGAGGGTGAAACCAGGCTGCTCCATGGAGGCAAGGATTTTGAAGCGCCTCCTTATGTACTTTGGGCACATGGCCAGGAGGAACCAGCCTTGGAGAAGAACATCATGCTTGGAAGGGTGGAGGAACTGTACAGGAGTGAAAGACCCAGGATAAGACAGATTGACTCAGTGACTGGAAAAAATGGCATTAGGTCTGTCAGAGATGATGAGAGTGGCTCAGGATAGGGCATGATTCAGAACTTCTGTACCTAGGGTTGCTATGAGTTGAAGGCACCTTGATGGCACATAATAATGACAATTATATGTCTAAAGTATCTAAATATAGCATCTCGAGAATATAAAAGCTCTCTGGTCCTCAGTGAGTCTTCCAGTAATGAAATCTTTTCAGAACCCTAAAAGGTTAAGTACTATAGTCTTCAATATGGATTTAAGCTCAACAGCAAGAAGACAAAAGAGTCTCACCACTGGGCCAGTTGGCCGCATCATAATAGATGGAGAAGAGATTGAGGTTGTTAGCAATTACAGCTTGCTTGGATCCACAATCAACACTCTTAATACCAGCAGTCAGGAAATCATTGGGAATTACATTGGGGAAATCTGCTGTCATGGACCACTCCCGAGTGCTGAAGAGCAACAGTGTCAGTCTAGAGACCAAGGTGCACTTAATCCAGGCCATCGTTTTCTCAATTACTTGTTATGCTTCAGAAAGTTGGACAATGGCTAAGAATGATGGAAGAAGAATAGATGCCTTCAAGTTGTGGTGCTGGAGAAGAGTCTTGAACATACATGGACTGCCAAGAAAACAAATTGGTCTGTCTTGGAGAGGGGGAATCCAAGTCTTTCTTTGGAGGCAAGGATTTTAAAGCTCTGCCTCACATACTTTGGGTACATGGCCAGGATAGACCCAGTCCTTGGAAAAAGACATCATTCTTGGAAGGGTTGATGGACAGTGCGGGAGAGGGAGGACCCCGGATGAGACAGAATGATACAGTAACTGGGGCAGTGGAAGTTGGTGTGTCAGAATTAGTGAGACTGTCTTGGGACAGGGAGGGGTTCAGAGCTGCAGTACATAGGGTCACTATGAATTGCAGACAACTCAATCAGTAACATTCTATGACAGGTTTGGAAGCAGGAGTGACATCTACTTCCTAAACAACTTTCCTCAGAAACTCTATGAACTTTGATAAATGTTGATAGTTGTAGAAGGGCTTCAGGCCTTTTGTTCATAGAGTCACTATGAGTCGTGCTTGACTCGAAAGCAATCAACAACAACACAACATAAAACAATACTGCCACTCAGGTTTCTCCCTAAGTATTAGTTGGATGGATAATGTAGTAACCCAATAGCCTACACAACAGTTTTCTGATAACAAAATATTTTCTACTTTAGGTTAGTAAACTTATACTTTTTGCATGCTTGTCTTTAATTTGAAATATTATATGCATTTCAGTAGGAAAAAAGTTGTTCTTCATCTTAAAAGTCTTCATTTACATTAAGCTGCAGTACAGATTGACCTTATTTTCAAGATTAAAAGTAACTTACTATACTACACAAATGAAAGGAGTTCTGGTGGTGTAGGGTGCAGTCCAAGGAGAGTTGTGCTGGTAACCCAAAGGCCATTCAACTGTTTGGTGTATTAGATCATGGGAAGGCAATTGCATAGCTTCCACATTATAACATACATATTATGGAAGGGACACAGTTCAATCAATGATGTAGGAGTTAGAGGCAGCAATAGAAACTTTGTGTTAAAATATGTGTTAGGTCTTGCTGTACAGCAGGAAAATCTCATAAAGTAGTAGAGAATTAAGTTGCTAATGCAAAGGTGGTGGCTCTGAGGCAGGAAGGTCAGATATGAGTTGGAGGGCAGTGAATTTTAGTTTCGAGTTTATGCTACAGGACAAGTTTCAACAGCGCTTACAGGCTAGAAAGAAAGGCCTGGCCTTGAACATCTGAAAACTAGTTTATGAAGCCATATGGGTCTCAACAGTCCAGTTAAGTTGCTCATGGCGTTACCATGAGTTGAGGACCAACTTAATGGCAGCTAATAACAACCACTCATTGTGGGAGTGCTGAGAAGTGGAGTCAGGTCACTATCTGAGAGGAGCCTGGGCTTCACAGAGGTGACACTATGCTGTATTTCATTATAATTCGTAGTACACCAGAGAAATGAAGTTCCCAAAGGTCATCCAGGGCATTAGGAAGATCACATCTTGAGACTCTGGACCAAGACCTGACCTCTTTCCCTAACTCCACTTTTCTCCAAAGCTCGTCATGCTGGGATTCATCTTTTTTACACCCAAAGCTCTCTGGTAGTAAGTAAGATGCAAGGCTTATACGTTTTCTTTCTAGGCCACTAAGGTACCATTTAATTCACTCCAGCAATAACTAAATAGGAACTTAGCTTCAAAAGACACTGAAAGTAGCGTGCTACTAATTTATTGCTACATCTATTAAAGCTCTGGAGAGAATCTGACGCCCTGGATTTTAAATATATTTGAGATAGTATGACAATTTTTCCTGATTTAGGTCCTTCATAAATTGGATAAAATGATTATAGGACCTGTTGTCACTTCATTCTTGCCCTGTCTCCAATCACTCTGCTACCTTTATTAATTCAGAATAAAATAAAATATCATAAGACATTAATGTAGCAGCTGGAGGTAGAAGGTCTACATTTTTATAGCCTCAATAATAAGTCTTCCTTTAAGATGCCTAAGCCTTTACTAGAGCAGAGGGAGGGAAATCTGTTCATCTCGTGCACACGTGTTCATTACCTTCCTGGGTAGTTACTGGTGAGAATGGCAAGTCTTGGAACCATGAAGTGCCTTGCCTGGTACACTGCCAAAACCATGAAATAACCAGAGCCAAAACACAAACCCAGGTCTTCCTACTCCAGATACATGGCTCTTTTTATTATATATCCTAATCTTCTGGTGATCCTATTAAAACAGTTTCCCAACTGTCATGAAATGCATTATTGACAAAATGTAAACAAACATCTTGGAATCCCCATCACTGCATCTCAGTATTTTGAGTTTCACTTCACAGTCATTATTTGGTGTTTTCTTACAGAAGGCAACAGACCACTGCAGCTGAAACTATCCTTAGATGGGAATCCCAAACCTATACTTGGAACAGCAGAGAGGTCAGATGGCCTACAGTGGTCAGCTGAGCAGCCTTGTAACCCCAGCAAGCCTAAGGCAAAAACATCTCCTGTTAAGTCCAATGTCCCTGCAGCTCATCTTGAAATAAAGCCAGATGAGTTGGCAAAGAAAAGAGGTAAAGTGATTTCTTTTGCACAAATGATTAAACATATTTTATGCTCCCTAGTGGTTACATTCCAAGTGATCAAATGACAGAATTTTACAAAAGATGCTTAGTGAAGAGATGCAAATGAATTTGCATTTCTTTCTGTGATCCATGTAGGAAAAATTGAAAGGCAGATGTGACACTTTTCTGTGTTATTCAAAGATTTTGAATGTGTCAGTGGCACTAAAGTCCTTTTAAACCAGACTGTTGAGTCAGAATTAACACATAAAATCTCTGGATAGTGCAGTCTCTTTGCACTTGACTTCCAAATGGTGGAAAGCTCAGTTTCACCCAGAGATGCCTTTGTAGAAAGACCTGGCAATTCATTCCTGAACAAATCAAGCACTGAAATCCTGTAGAACACAGTTCTCCTCTGACACACATAGGGTCACCCTGAGTCAGAGTCAACTGGATGGAGACTGGATTTATGGGAGTTGCATTCCTTCTCCTGTTCTCTTTGTTAACATGGATACATTTTCACCACAAATATGTTCTGCCTTAAAACATTATAAAGTAAATGGAGGTCTTTCAGAAAGGTGAATGTTGAATGAGTCTAATATTTAAGTTTGTTCAGTAAAAATTCTTAATTTGCGTTGAGTGAAGGTGAGTCTAAAGTCTAGTATGCCTCCCTCAGATGTGATCTTCCCTGTATAAATCCAGCTCTTGGATTTGAACTTTCAGACATCATAACACTAGAAGGGTTTTATATTGGATGCACCCTATTTTTATTTTTGTTTGAGCTTTGTGATCCTTTATACCTAGTGCTATGTTATGTATAAAGGACTAAATTACTTCCATTCTGATTCCCAGATGGTTAAGTAGTTGTTCTGTTCAGCCCCTCAGTTGTGTCTGATTTCATTGCCTTTGGTTGAATATTCTTGCTTGCTTTTCTTGAGGGAGAATTATTTTTCCTGGCCTTCTTGGGCCAAGTATGGTCTGCCTGTTTGCTCTTTACTGTCTGTAAACCCTGGTGACAGTTTCAGGAAATCAGGCAAGATTCTCGCGTGGAGAAACCTTAATTGCTGCTGCTATAATTACAGGGCTGGTTCAGGGCTGAGCAGCGAGAACCACGTACCTGGCACCCATCCTCTAGGTCGTTTGTGCCTCCCTTCCTCTCTATGTCATTTTCCTCTTCCAGAAGCCCTGATGGTTTTTAACCATGCAGAGTGGTGTTTATAGATCAAGCCAGCAGCACAAACAATCTTTAGCATATTGGATTCTAAAAAACTGCAGCTTGTACTAGAAGAGAACAGTCAGAGCTTCTTGGTGAAAGGAAAGGAAACAAGTGTGCCCCAAACATCCTAGCAAGGGAGGACCAGTGTGAAAACAGCAGATTTAGGGCCTAATGTCCCACCCACTCTGGGTCAAAGAACTGTTACAAACATCCTCTTGACAGAAGCTTCTTTTTTTCCCTTCACTGAAAGACAAAAACTAAAATCTCTTTTTTTTGGCCAGTCATTTGTTGTGGTGTTTTGTTCATAAGTAAAAAGATAAAGTGCTATATTTAACAATTGTTTTCTTCTTAATTTTAGGCCCAAATATTGAGAAATCAGTGAAGGATTTGCAACGCTGCACTGTTTCTCTAACCAGATACCGTGTCATGATCAAAGAGGAAGTGGATAGTTCAGTGAAGAAGATCAAAGCTGCCTTTGCTGAATTACACAACTGGTGAGTAATTCCACTTAGGAAGTATAAATTTAGGATACTTGAACTGTTTCTGTAGGAAAAGCATCAAATGGAAAATGTTTATTTAATTCATAAATATCATGGAACAAGTCTCCAGCAGATTCTTTAAAGTCTTGCAGGAAGAAGCATATATCTTAGGAGTGGAAAAAGGAAAAGAAATGAAGGTGCTTAATAAAGAGAAACCTGACACATGTAACTCATTAGCGTAGCCCAAAAACAAAGAAGTGATCCAAACAGCCCAAAAGTGTATGAATGATGTAGAATAAAACCTCAACAAGTGATTTTTCCCCCCAAATCCCTGGAATGTCAATACCATGAACATCATTAAGAAAAATAAAATATTTTCTAATGGTGTAATTACAGGGACACTTTGAAAGTATTGCAGTTTTGATTCCAGACCATTGGAACAGAGCCAGTAACATGAATTGTTTTTGTTTCTCAGTGCATGCCTAAGTTATGTTTACACCAGTCTGTAGTCTATTAAAGGCTCCTTGGTGGAATATCTATTACATGTCGGACTGTTCACCCAGTGGTTGGCAGTTTGAAGTCTTACTTGGTGCTCTGGGCAGGTTTGAGTTCTATTAAAGATGCATTGTTTAAAAGTTTAAAATAGTTTGAGCTTACCCAAATGTGAGACAGAGATGTGAAATAGCACATACTGTTAGAAAAATGGCACTGATAGTCTTGTTCAACCCAGATTTGTCATAAAACTTTAATTTATAAAACATGCATTACTTAAGAAGACAATAAATAGAAATAAAATAAGGACAACTTTGTTAACAAAACTTAATATTCTACATAAGTTTAATGTAATATCCCATACTTGAGTATCTCTTAAGACTAAAATTAAGGCATGGTCACTGATGCGGTTTTGGTCCTGGCTTTACCTATAATTTATTTGAATGTAGTTGACTTTGAATCTCATAAAATTGCTCAATACATAATTGGAATGAAATATCTAGTTGTTGTTTTTATTGTTGTTGTTGTCGTTACATGCCGTTGAGTTGTAGGCCATTTATAGCAACCCTATGAACAAAAGACCTGAACACTTGTATACCTTTCATCATTTCTCCACGTTCATAGAGTTTCTGGAGGCAAGCTATTTCAGAAGTGGATGCCACTCCTGCTTCCAAGCTTCTTTTAATCCAAGAGCTCCACCAAACACTGTCCACCATGGGTGACCATTATCACATTTGACACATCAGTATCACAGTGTTTAGCATCACAGCAAACACAACTTACTGGACAGACCAGGGCTATACCACTTAGAAGAACGTTTGACCAAAACCAATTAAAAGCAGGCCTGAGGGCCACAGATTAAAGCTAACTTACTAAAGTAGTTGTTGTTGTTGTGTATCAGAGTCAGAACCAACCCATAGCTGACTCTCTGGCAAGTTTTCAGAGGCAGTTAATCACACAGGAGGAGATTGCCCATCCTTCTCCTGCTAAGTAGCCAGTATCCTCAAACTGCGTGCCTTTGGGATTTCAGCCTAGCTTCTTGCCACTAGGCCATATAGTAGAAAAAAATATTCTCAGTATGACAGTCAAGACTCTTTACAGTTTCAACAGATAGAAAGTCAAGTCATGTTAGCTAACAGACAAAAGGAAAATTGACTAATGAAAATTAAAATTCCAAAAGAAGGTAGCTTCAGGCAAATTTCTTCTTTTTTTATTAATATTTTATACTGATTTTTTACAGAGTTAGAATGCATTGTTTTTTACACAAGATCCTTCCTATTTCCTTCCCCTCCATCGATGATTAACACCCCACCCCACCCTTCCTCACTCCTCTGCTTCCACCCTCCCCACCCCCTTGGAGCCTCATACTCATTCTACAATAATGGTTTTATACCCTATTAGACAAATTTATTCTAAGCCTCTATTATATCATTGGGACTCAGCTTCTCTCTCCACTTCACTCCTCCTTCCTTCTCACTTCCTACTTTCTTTCCTTGCAAATTCTTCACTGATTTCTCAATGGAGTCATGTGCCTACAACAGACCTGGTAATGAGATGAGTTCACCTGAAATCTGAAGACCGTGAGTTGAAGAGCAGTGGTTTCCTTTAAGAAAATTGGGTTGCTAACATCAAAAGAAAGGAGGACAGTATACTCTGTCCTGTATACCCAGACTCATGTAACATGGTCCCTGTAGGTCCTGTGGTTCTGAATCTTGACTGTATCTTCCACCAGTTTTTCCTAGTAAAAGCCTTTGCATTGACATTAATATGCTTTTTAGAAGAAACTGATGGCTGGAGTCATGTAAATCTAACACCACCATAATCTAAAATTCATGACTTTTAAACCATCTGCTACATATAAGATTCCGAGAGTGTCAAGCACGCTGACTTAGAAGATTCCCTCCTTTAGTTCTCATTTAGACTCTCCAAGGGAGTAAAGAATCATTTTTTACACACATACTCCAATCATGGCATATGAACCATACTCAAACTCTTCTTCCATAAATTAGATTGTAACCTAGTTAGTTGTTCCAAGAAAATACCAAGAGTACATCTGAAAGCTCATAGAGAAGTGTCTTTGTTTTCTAGTGGTGTAGTAACAAAATTAGCACAAGTGGCTTTCATGGCTAAAAATGTATCTTCTCCCATGCCAGGAGGCTAGAATCTGAATTCAGGGCTGCAGCTAGTGAAAGGTCTTCTCTGTCTTTCAGTTTCTCCAAGTTTCTCCAGGCTGTAGCAGTTGGCTTCCATAAACAAAACCCTCTGAGATACATCTTTTCTGTACTATATGGTCACTATGACTTGAAATCAACTGGATGGTAGTGGGGCTAGTATGGCCTCAATGTAACAAAGGAACACATATTCCCAAGTGCGTCATAGGCACAGGTCCATGGATGAGTACTTAAGCATATTGTTTGGGGGAAAGCAATCCAGAAGGAAAATAATATCTAGATAAGCTGGGTTAAGAGAAAGGCAGTATACAATTAGGGCTTGATAGACAACTTAATTATTAATTTTTGTTGATGTTATAAAACAAAATTTCCATAAATGACTGAATTTTAAAAATAAGGTAAACATGGTACACAAATGAAAGGTATGAGTATCATTGGTTTCTTACAAAAAACATTTATAGTTATATGGCTTTTCAAGTCTATGCTTATTTAAGAAGCTGTCCTGCCAACCCAAAGGCAAGTGTTTCGAATCCACCATCTACTCTAAGAATGATGAGCAGTCTCCTCACGTGTGATTTAAAGCTTCAGAAAACCCGCTGTAGGGTCAGCTGTGAGTCGGTTCCAACTTGACAGCATATAACAGTAATACTTATAAAAGGAGCCTGCAGGGTTAGTGAATTACATGGAGCTAACCAAAGGTCAGTGGTTTGAATCTACCAGGAGATTCTGCAGGAGAAGGATGAGCCAGCTCCTGTAAAGATGTACAGCCTTAGAAACTCCATGGAGGGTCAGCACGTGTCTAAATAAACTCCGTAGCAGTGGGTCCAAGACCCAAACCCAGCCTTCCCGTCAGTTCTGGCTGCTGCCCACCACCACTTGCTGAAGCTGCAAATCTTCACAGCATAGAGACTACCTCTCTTTCTCTCTTAGAGCCCTTGGTGAATTCAGACCACCTCCCTTGTGGTTAGCAGCCCAACTCATAACTCATTAGGCCATGAGGGCTCCTTTTAGGTAGCAGAATTTTTTTGTAAAGGGCCAGCTGGCAAATAGCACAGATTGTGGGTCACACAGTCTCAATGCAGCTTTTCAGCCCTGCTATTGTGGTGCAAAAGCAGCAATAGACATACCACCCTTGTCTGGAGGCATTAGCTGACTGCTCAGAGAAGACCATGTTGTCTTCTCTACTTTTGTGTGACACTTGAGAATAACCTCTTAACACTGAGGGACTCATATACTCATTAACAGAGTGTAGTCTAGTCATGACCTCAGATTACCTCCCCTTTTCCAGCTGCTCTGAGGACTTTTGTTTTTATTTTTTTATTTTTTTGTAAAATGAACATCACATGGGTCATGAGGCATCTTAAAATTTATAACAGATTCTTTGAGTGTTTCTTCAGCCCTCAAGCCCTGAAAACAGGGGGTCAGGAAACTCAGTACCTAAGGAAGTAGTATATCTTTTGCTCTGCCTATAATTTACATTGTGTTTGAAATGGATGGGGAGGGTTACTTCTGAATGAGTTCAGCCAAGCAGTACTGCTGTTTAAAAGCCACCCACTTGGCAAAACTGAACTTTTCCTCCAAACGAAAGAGGTAAATAGACAAAAAAAAAAGAGGTCATTTTCTGTTTACTGTTGCTACAAAATGAGTAAAAGGCATCACTTGCTTTCTTATCTATCCTTTAATAAAGTAAATGCATAAATGTTAACTTAAAAATAAAACTGAAGTGCCATTTGTCAACTGTTTACATGCACTTCTGCCAAACAAGAAAAATGTTTCCAGGGCTTGAAAAAGCATGTAACCCAGCCAGTGGAATGGCTAACTTGAATAAGCCTCACTCTTTATTTTCTTAAAAAAAAAAACAAACCTCAAACTCATTGCTGTTGAATTGGAACCGACTCAGTGCTGACCCTCCAGTAGGTTTTTAGAGGCTGGAAGACACACAAAAGGAGATTACCCATCTGTGTCCCCAGGAGTCACTGCGAGGGAGGCCCACCTTGGCGTTAGCAGTGCGACTCCCTAAAGGCTACACCACCAGAATTGCTCGTATTTTCTCAGAGGGAGAAAAGGCTGGGTATGGGAGATTGTAGTGTTCTTGAGAATATCAGGCAGCTTGCAAGATTTATTTTAAAAAAACCAAAAAACATTTCCTTGTTGATGGTGAAATGGGCTTTAGAAAAAACAGTCTTGACCACAAGATCAGAACACGTATCCAGATCTAAAGGATGTGGGACACGTCCTTGGGAAATTTCCAAGGAGCGAGCTCATTCTCAGACAGATGTTAAATTATCTGATGCTTAAGCAACACTGACACTTATGTTCTATTCTAGCTCATCTCTTTAGTTTGGGCCATTC